CGATTCGAGGCGCGCCTCGAGGCATCCGCCTCGAACGCCTTTTTAATCGATGTCCTCCACTATACATAATAGAGGTGCACGGGGTCCTATGGACCACTAATCCATGAGAAAATAGAGGACAAGCATAGATGATGCCTGCTGCTGGTACCGGAGAGGGTCGACGGCAGGTTTGCATGGATATTGGTAGATTTTTTTTTTTTTAGAATACCATATCATTTAATGTTATGATTCGCCGGCCTACTTCAATATGCTGCGGCCTATAGGGTTGTATGGGAGAGGGTTGAAAACACCTTCCATGTACGAGTTGCGAACATGGATTTTTAAGAAGTTGCAGAACACAGAGCAGGGCATTGATGAGATTAAACGGGCATGGATTGAGACCGGTGTTACCATTATGTCATATGGATGGTCTGACATGAAGAGCATGAGCTTGATTAATATCCTTGTCAACAATCCCTATGACACGGTGTTTTTACGATCAGTTGAAGCTTCAGATGAGGTTAAAAATGTTGAATTCATTTTCAATTTATTAGATGGGGTTGTTGAGGAGATTGGGGAGCAATTGGTTGTTCAGGACGTGACTGACAATGCCAGTGCATACAAAGCAGCTGGTCATATATTGATGGAGAAGAGGAAACAACTGTATTGGACCCCCTGCGCAGCACACTATATTGATCTCATATTGGAGGAACTTGGTGATTTACCTCAACACGAGAGCGCTCTTTCTAGGGCGAAGAAGATCACAAAGTTTATATATAACCACTCATGGGCATCTGATAATGAGTGGTTCATAGATGATGAGACAGATTTGTCATTATCAGACCTGCAACTAGATGATCTAAGTGTGGATGTCTTGAGGGGTGAAGCAGATCAAGTGGGCACATCCACTACTATCACACCACACACATGCAACACAACAACCAAATAAAGGTATTCCACATCTTCTTATATGCTAGTATTATATTATATTTATATCAATTGGGCAATTAAAATGATAATGATCATTATTATTAAATAGGGAAGAGAAAAATGAATCATATTGAACATGATGAAGATATGACATTCATAGATACAATTGGAGAAGAAGATTCTCTTGAAGACCCATTTAATAATGAGACATGATTGGATTTTATATGTTCTTTCTTATTTGTACTTTGGGAGTTTTGATAGACTAATATTTTATAGCTCTGTACTTTGGAACATGATTTTATTGCATCTATTTTCTTACTTTCCACTAATTTCACTTTTCATTTAGATGCTTTTATTGTATGATAGAATCTTAATATTATTTACCTGTTAAAACCCTTAAATTCTCATTTATGCAATTCTGCGTCCGTCAGGCTTACGCCTTAGACCGCCTCGCCTCACGGACGAAAAACGCCTCGAGGCTAACCTTGATGCTTGTTACATGTTTTTTGCAGTTATATGTTCATATTGATAGAGATTAAATGACTCTATGCATACTGTTTCTATTATCATACATTCATTTCAATTGTACTTTCTAGTAACCTATTAAGTTGTTAGCTTGTTTTGTGTTTTACATATTCTTTAGGAAGGGGTCAAGATCCAAAGGAGTAAGTCAAATATGGGATTCAAGTTTTATTTTATTTTTGTAGTTTCTTTAGTTTTACTATTTTGTAGTCAATAGCTAAAAGATAAACTGATGAATGTATGAGTTGAATTCTTAGCTTTTGTATATAAATTTGGAGGGATAAATATAGTTTTATATTTTGATGTATATGACTTTTAGTTGCTTCCATTGTACTAATTTAGGTTGATAAAATCAAAAAAACTCTGATTAATTGCTTAAGAGATTAAAATAGATAATTTTTTTTAAATTAGATCTTGGAGCGTTAGAAGGGACCATGACAGCCCAGGATGATGGAATCATAGATCCAGATCAGACTCGTCATCATTCCCCCATCACCCGCTTTAAATGTACGATGATAAATTTCAAAATTAAAAATCCCCAAAAATCTAATTTTAAAATCCCTAAAGTTGCTACTATTATATGTTGGGTACTTAGCATATATCCAACAACTAGTCTCAATCGAAAGTGCTCTCTCATTATCGAAAGGGGTAATTAATTATAAGATCTTGCACCTAGGAGAAACCAGACCTCAGATCATGATGTCCTTTTGAAGCTATCTAGTCAAAATTTCTATGTTTACATAATAATTCATATTTAACCTATCAACATGGAGATTCAAAATTTTATATGGAAGTAAAACAACCAATATATAATAGATGTAGCAACAACAGAAAGGGTAGAGAGAGATAGAGATTGATGGAGCCTCACAGGCACGAAAGGCCAAAGGCAACAAGTGAATATTAGCAAGGATATGTGCGACCAAAGATCTTAGAGACACTCTTATGAGGAGAGTAGAAGAAGAGGAGAGAGAGAGCGAGAGAGAGAAGAGGAAGAAGAAGAAGATAATAATGATGTATAAGAGGAGGGAGGGAGCTAAACTCACAGTGCTAGGACTGGTGATGGGTTAAGGCCGCAACCAACGAACTCTATGCATAACATTGAGAAAGATTGCATGAGGAGATGAAGATAAATAAGAATTGTACATGCAACTTAATAGTTCCAACAAATCTCGATTTGTGAAGGCCCTTAGTGGCAAAATTAAGAAACAAAATGTTGTTTCTAAAACCTTAATCTTCCATAATGGTGTTATTAGACCGAGCAAATGGGAGCATGGGCTCCCAGTGCCCTCGCCTTAGCTCCGCCTCTACTTCCTACATAAGCTTTGAAGTGACCAACAAAATATTTTTTTCAAATAAAAAAGGATCACGCACATTCTCTCAAATTTAATTAATCAATATATAAATGTGAGATTTAAGTAATTTTGTGCACTTTTATGGGAAAATGGGGAAGTGTAATTAGTAATTAGTCTAAATGGATTGAGCATGTAGACTAAAAAACAAACTAATAACCTCCAATTTTAACAAATCATTCTGATTATGTATCACAATTAGAAATAGGGAACTCTTTTCCACTAAGTCGGAAATAATTTTCGTTCTTCAAAAATCATTAACTTCTTGTTTTCTAGGTGAAAAATCCTGTTGAAGAGAAGCAAAAATAATAGACCATTTTTAGTCAGACAGCCCAAATAATTAAAGTAACCAGCAAATATACCTCCGTTACTTGTTGTCAAGATTGTCCCACCAACAGGGTCCAAACTTGAGTTGGTAATTCCAGCAAGCTTTAGGGCAAGAGAGTTGGCTAAACCCATATGACCATCCATCCGTACGAACCAAACCTATAAATTGCTCCCCAAACACTATCATCTAAACAATTCATGATAACTAGTCATTTGAATAACAGCAATGTACATACCGGGTTGTCGCGTGTAATATCATCTATCCAGGAAGCATCGGGTAATTCTCCACCCCAAATATCATTGTTCCAGCCTCCACCCAACAACCAGTCACCAGGAAGTTTATCTGATGTAAAAGTTTTCATAAGAGCTAAAACATAGTACGTAACACATTATAAAACAAGAACGTAACACTGACGTTTTAAAGTGCAAATGCAAGTTATTCTCTTTTCTGCAATGAACTGCTTATTTTACCATATCAACCTTCCTATACAAGATATGCACGCTTTCAAATATTCAATTGAATCATATACCTTGACTATTAACACATTTTGTAAGGAATTTAATGCCTCTTCTCCCTTCACTATGACCATCTAATATCCTAGCCAGGACACCGAACTTTCTCTCCTAACAAATGATTAAATCTATTGACTAAGTGATACTTGATCCTTCTTGGATAGGATTGATGTCTGATACTTTCCAAGTGGACTTAAAGGGAATTTTTGGACGGTTGGTGCTTAAAAGCGTGTCATCTACTTCACACAATGGTTGAGGGATTCATTGTTTCCAATCTAACACTACCACAAAAATATTACACAAGACTTGCTAACAACTTGAGGATAACCTACTAAGTGGATCGACTAATCTAATGGAAAGGTCCAATATGAATGATTACAATTTTAGTATAACTAGGGGAAAACAGCATGCAGAAATGGATGCTTAATCTAACATTTTGCTGTATTTAGAATTCATTATTAACCTCTCTATTGCAGTAGTCCAAATGACAATTATTTCTTGCTCTATCCAAGAGCTTCTTCTCTTGCTAGAGCAAAAAATAAGAATATTTCTTTTTTCTTAAAAAAAGCCAATAGCTGCACTAGCAAGCACTAAAAAAAAATCTTTTCTTGAATAACACCCCTCTCCTCTCTCTTCCTCTTCCTCTCCTCTCTCTTCCTCTTCCTCTCCTCTCTTTGTTGCTTTTTATTACAAGATACTTCATCATATTGCTACTACCTCTTTATATAATGCTTAGTCATGATAAGTAGCATGTTTGAATTTAATGAAAATTGAGTTTGGTAACCATCATCTTGAAAAATCAAGGGTGAATAAATTGATCTTGAGTTAAGTTAGCCAACATCTTGTAAAAGCAAATGTGAATTTAGTTACATAACCACCATCTTAAAAAATTAAATGTGAATGAATTTTAAATTGGTGGCCACTTTCTGAATTTTAACAAGCCACTATGCAAATGTATTCCTCATGATAGTGAAACCATAGAAGAAAAATTAAGTTGTAGAGCTTTCTCTAGAAAATTTCCTCTATAAACTAAAGCTTTAACTTGCCAAAGTTCACAAAAGAAAAGTAGGAGAAAAACTTTACTAAACCAAACCTTAAACCGTCCATAATAATTCATAAGTTTTCCAACATTAGAATGGTGAATGAACGGCAATTGTTATTTTATCTAGACCTAAAAAGGCTTCAGAAAATAGGTGATGTTACTAACCTTTCACAGCTTCTTTCACCGTCATCACAAAATCTTCTTTACTTTTAATACCTTGAAGTTTCACACGACCCATCTGCTTTTCAGTTAGTGGTTTAGTCCACATTATGCAAGGATTTATCATGGAAAACAACAATCAAAAGCAGCATTTATTTTATAAGTATAAACAAAAGATAAAACTATAAGTTTCAAAAAAAAATTCAAACAAGATATCATGGAAAAATAGCTGACAAAAAACTTAAGACAGTCTCTATAATATTTATATGTGGCTAATTTAGTCTAAATATAGCACATTTCTCCAATTTAGTCCCTCGTCTATATAAAATTGATCGCAAATGTCCCTTGCATAGAAATTACCGAAAATTTGGATGCAAAATTGATCTCAGTTTAGTCCGTTAACAATATAAAATTGATCCCAATTTAGCCCCTAAGAGATTATTTGCGATCAATTAATGTGATACTCTAAAACTAAAGTGGCTGCATAAAAAAAGTCAGGGGATTATTTTGGGCATTTTCCTAAAACTATATTTGGAACACCTATCAAAGTCATCATGATGCAACACATCATAAATATTTATACAGGTATTAAAGACATACAAGAGGATACAAGAGTGGACCCAATCGAGAGATAAATAAAGAGGCCCATCAAGATTATTAAGCAGCTTTCAAGCTAAAGCCAAATATGAGTCAAGAAAGAAGGATGCCTGGCCATTAGCCCACCAAAACCAATTTTATGCTTCATATTTAAATCATGTGTATTTTTTTTTTAAGAAAACTTCAGATTTTGAAATTTTAAATTTGAATATTTTCATATATTTATTGCATAGGAAGCAGCATTAGAAAGTTAAAGTCTTTACCTCTTTTTCCTTTCATTTTCAATTTTTTTTTAATGGAATGTCTGTAATACGCTATCTATAGCCCTCTTTGAGCAATTTGCAAAATTATTTGAGTTTACTTATTTGGTTTGAGAGCTTGGTGACTGAACTCTTGGCATTCCTTTTTGAGATTGCTAGTTATCCAACATCACTTCCTTTCTTCTCCACACTTCTTGATATTATCGCCAACCATCCTCCAAACCTCCACCACCTTTCATAAGCTTCCACCTTCAAGCCAACCATAGGCCTCAACACTTCACAAATAATGTATTTAAAGTATTGAGGAAGTTAAGATGAATCACGAATAATGGGGCCAAGATTTAAAGTGTTGAGGAAGTTTAAGATAACCAGCACATACTCAATATAATATTGAAAATTAATTTAATAAGAAAATCAATATTAAAAATGTTAGAATGGATTGTACTATGCGACGAAGGATCATAGAGTACAATCATGTTCTCTAGTTCAATCAAAAGTTTGATTAGCCAGATTAATAATGTGATAATTAATTTAATTAATCTATGGATAATAAAATATGATATGAATCGGACAATATAATATTTTTATTTTAAAATCAAAATGATCAAATCAATCAAGCAATTATTAAATTAATTCAAATTGTTTACATATCAAAAGGTACAATTGTTTACCTCCTTTTTGGCATAGGTCACTTGCATTGCCTTATCGCTTTTCTTTTGTAGATTGATCCACCTTACTGTATGTTGCACCGCTACGTTGGTGAAGGATCACCTCGTGTATTTTACCTCAATTCGTCGTCGGTTTTAGAAATTTGTTTCTTTCGATCACATATCACCGTTTATCATGTTTTGAAACATATGTGATCAGGTCGATGCCGATTTGATGGGCATTTTACGTGCATTTGGGCCTTTATCGTACATGTTCGTTTTGTGCATAATATCTTTTGATTGAGACCTTGTTTTCTAAAGCAGATAGCGTGAGCGCGTTCGGATCGTCAAGTCCTTTCAAATGAGTCCATTCATGTCTGGATCGGGTTTCATTTGAATTGTGTCGAGTATGTTGAATTGATCTCACTATTTAACTATTATTTATTGCAGCTAGAGTCATCAATCTTAGGTAGAGAAACTACTGATATTTTTCATAAGAAAGGCTCTGGCTCAGCTACCCAAATAAAAAATAAAAATCGTTACATGACTCCCTGGCTCTCGATTTTGGCGCAAGGCCAAAAGCCCACGCCTCTTCCTCGCTCTCAATCTCTTGCCCTAGCCACTGTCAAGCTTCCCACTCCCCGTCTCCTCTAATTCGCGAGCCCCAAACAAAGGCTGAGGAAGATAGTGCTGCTGTTATTGCAGCTAGAGTCATCAGTTTTGTGGTTGTTTTACATAAGGATAAAATCATCTTGGGTCACTGGGGTGTTAATCAGTTTTCTTAATTTTTGGCACCCTCTTCCTCCCGGGTGGTTAAAGATCAACATTGATGCTTCCCTATAGAAATCGAATAGAGCTGGTGTTGGTGGAGTTGTTAGATATAGTAGAGGGAGATTCTTGTTGGCCTTTGGGTTTGGTTGTGTTCATTGGGATTGTGCACAGTTGGAGTTGTTGGCTTTCAAATCATTGAAGGATGTTATATAAGAATGGATGCTTGATGCACAAGGTATTGTGATTGAAGGGGACAATCGGAATGTCATCAACTTTCTCCACAAACTGTTTAGTATACCGGATAATCTGATGGGAGGACGTATAGATGAAGACTTGTTATTCTTGAAGGGTAAATAATATTTTATTTCATTTTGTTAGTCATGATTGTAATAAGTTAGCTGATTATTACACTAACTTAGCTAGTTCTTATAATTTCATTTGGGATGTTTTTAGTGAGAATAATATTCTCCCTTCCTTTGTCGCTTTGTTGAAGGAGGAATGTGATAGGTTGTCTTTATTTGAGTAGTTTATATCTAGGTCTTTTTCTTAATGCAAAGTATCTAAGTGTTCTAAGTCTAATTTTAGTTTTATACCTAAATGTAACACTTTGCTCAACAAAATATGTGAATGTTTTAACTTATACATTCCTGATGTTAGATAATTGCACATTGTGTCTATACTAGAAAGCATTAGAGCTATGGTTATGACACGAATGTTGGAGAAAAAGAAAAATGCATTAAATTGGAATGGAAAGCTATATCCTAAAATTAAGGAAATTGTGGGAAAAATTATGCAGAAAGCAGGTTCTTGTATAGTTTATACATTATATGATAATAACTATGAGATAATTACCTTATAAGAAACAACCACCAAATCAGAGAAACGGTGCTGTATTTCAAAGAAATTCAGCAAATACCAAGCAAGTTTTGCAAAATTTGTAGAGGAATAAGCAAGACAAGCACTTGAAATTAAATAAAAGCTAAAAAGAAACAACCCTATACAAGGAATCTTCAATTCGAGAGGAAGATTCAGCTCTCCAATCTCTAGCCGAAGTCTAGAGCACAAAACCACAAATAGAGATCTCAAATTTTAAATTTAATTCAAGATAACCCTAACTCTAGCAAGAAGACAATTACTTAAAGCAAAGCATAAATCATTAATCCCTAAACAAACATTAATTTGAATTTTCCCTCCTAAACAAATCAATCATTAATATGTGGGCCCCAGCCCTCATGCGGCCGCAATCAACCCCCTATTATTTTTCCGCCGCCTGTAGACTTGAACCGATCCAAGAGGGACTGATTCAACCGGCCCTTGGGCCAGTCTAACATTACCCCCCTCCCAAAGACTCACCTTATCCTCAAGGTGAAATGAAGGAAATTGAAGTTTCACCCTCTCATATGGTTCCCAAGTGGCGTCGAAGTCGGGTAAGCCCTTCCATTTAATCAGCACTTCTTTGTTCCTCCTTTTTTTGAACTCACCCCTTTTAGCTCCAATGGTTCCAACTCCTCAGTCAGAGTTGTTAGTAATTATGCACTAACTACAAGCTCCACCAGAGCTCTCCTCAACTATGACACGTATAAGACTAGGTGTGTTGTGGCGATCAAGGGTAACTTCAAGCGGTATACCACTACTCCAATCTTTTCCAACTCGTGGGGACTGAAGTGCTTTGGTGCCAATTTCTCATTCCTTCCACTGGCCATTGTCCTCTGTCTGTAGGGTCGCAATTTTAAGAACACCCTATCCTCAACTTCAAATTGGATGTCTCTCCTATGTGTATCTGTCTGCTTCTTCATAATATGTTGCGCCCTCAAACAGTGTCTCTTCAATTACTCTAACACCTTATCTCTTTTCTCCAAATATTGCTCTACTAAAGAGACTAATGTGCTTCTTTGCCCAAAATGCATCAAGTGCGACGGCGGGTCTCTTCCATACAACACCTTGAAAGGGGTCATATGAGGAGTTGAGTGGTACGATGTTTTGTACCAATATTCGGCCCATGCTAACCACTTGGCCCACGGCCATGGTGTTTTAGAAGCAAAACACCGTAAGTCTCCAAGCTTATGTTAACAACCTCCGTTTGTCCGTCAGTCTGAGGGTGGTAGACAGTGTTTCTCTTAAGAAATGTGCCCTGTAACCTTAACAACTCCCTCAAAAACTGACTGAGCAACACCTTATCTCAGTCAGAGACTATCGACTCTGGAATCCCATGCAATCTAACCACTCTCTGATGAATACTGCAACTATTGTCACTGCGGTGTAGGGGTGTCGTAGGGGAATGAAATGCGCATATTTACTCAGCCTGTCAACCACCATCATAATCACTGTGAATCCCTCGGATCGAGGTAGACCATCTATGAAGTCCATGTAAGATTGGAAAATTAGTGGAACTGCTAGTATATTATATTAGTAAGAAAAGGAATCAGTAAAATCCTTAGCTTGAAAAACCGTTGTGGTGTGGGGAGAAGCATTTGGGTCAATGTTTGGTGGGATCTGGAAGATGTTTTAGATGTGGTGAGTTGGGTCATTGTAAGATAGATTTCTCTCAAGAGAGAAGAACCAACACCAGGCCACAGGGATATCAGGGGTATCAAGAACAAGCACAACATAGAAGATATCTAGAAGACAATCAAGCAGGAAAAACTCAATTTCAAAGAAGGCCAACAATGCAAGGAAAACTGCCAATTCAGTTAAAAGGAAAAACATACAATATTAAAGGAAATCAACCTATGAAAGCTAGAGTGTTTGTTATTATACCCCAGGAAGGCAAGAATTCAAAGGAAGTGGTTGCAGGTATACTTTTAATTTCTAATAAGTTTCACATAATTCTTTTTTATTTTGGTGCATCCCATTCGTTTATTCTGAAGAATTATGTTCTGATTTATCTGTTGAGACTACATATTTTACACCTACCCTATGTGTTATGATGCCAACAGGGGATAATTTGCAAGGCTTTTAAAACCGGACCGGACCGGCAGGTTCAACCGGTTGAACCGCGAACCGGCCGGCCGGCCTGTTACGGTTCGCCTGAGAACCGTTTTCGCGTCGAACCGGTCTCGGACCGTTCGAACCGCCGGTTCGACCGT